GATATTAATTTTCTGATTTGGTTGAGAAAAAAAATCTTATTTGTATCATTAATGCTCAAAATTTAATTCTTTTGGTTTATGCTCACAAAAACAAATACTTTAGTTATAAGCTACATGAAATTTGAAGTCCCAGTTTTTTTATTGTGAAAATTTTACTGAAATTTTTCGATTTTAAGAACTCGAGGAGCCAATTTTTATCTTGTTATCAATCCAGTTTTATTCAATTAGTTCTCTTCTCACCCTTGACCATTTCCTTTGACGAAAGTGAGTACGGATGAAACGTTTTTGAAAAAGATAATGTAGATGGCACAAAAACTAAGTGGGTGAATATTAGGTAGCCAACACGAAGCAAGTTGAAAATAAAATTTAGCAAGCTCCAGAGCGCGATTACCCGAAAGCACGATAGGTCCAATTAAATCATTCGTGCCGATTGTAGAGTAATTATTTGCAATTTCGCAATGATGGTTAATTATGGCGAATTTTGTGTTATACGACGTTTGAGATGGTGCAGCGCTACAAAACTGCCCATTTAATGCGAAGTTTCGAGATATTCGACCGTTTCTTTACAGTGTTGTTTGAATCATTTTTGGTTTTAATTTCCGGTACAGATTTTTTAAAAACACAAAAGAATTGATCTAAAAAAACAATCCCCAAATTTTCAAATACTTTTTCGACTTTTTTTTAGGTTGGGACTAAATAAAATGTTCGAGCTTTTCCAAAGCACTAAATAGACCCTATTTTGGCCAAATATTCTTTGCCGCAGGCAAGTTTTGGAAAAAATAGACCAAAAAGGCGTTGTTAGGTACTTTTTGGAAAACTTTGACAGTAAAATTGCGTTTTTTCGGCTCAAATTGATATATTGAGGCGCCTAGGCGCCTTTAGAAAAATTTTAGGGTCAGGCAGACAAAAAATGGATATCAAATTAGTACAAAAGGACCCTTTGGGTCGGCAGGGGGTCGAATCCCTGAGTGGTTTGGAGGGGGTGTGGTTAGCCCCCCGTTCCTTCCCCCTCCTAAATCCGCTGGTGCCCGCAACCCAGAACTCGCAAGAAATTCAAAACCGCCTACCAAACACAAGTAATATTTCCCAGTGTTTCGTCTGTTTCTCTTATCTTTTTTTGTTCTATTTAAAAAATGAGGAATAT